TGGACGGTAGTTCTGAAGATCCTCCCGTTCGCCCTTCTTGAAGAGAAGGACGGTTCTTGATGTTCTCCGCTGGTCGGGAATCTTCTCCTTCTGAAGGTAAGATGTCAAATGCGACGCTAGAACCTCGTGTAGACGTTGTCCTCCGGCTCGCAGAAATTCGACGGAAAGATGGTCTGGTCCTGGAGCCGTGGACGTCTTCATGGTCTGAATCGCCGTGCGCACTTCAGCAGGTAGAATTCGTGGTAGTACTTCTCCAGTGGGAATAACGGGCGTCTGCACGGGTGTTGATGAGCGTAAGAGGTTCGTGTGGAAGTTCTTCGCGATAGATTCCATCGTATCGGGAAGAAGTCGGAGTCCCGTCTTCGTTCAATAGTGCAGCTAGCGGTAAGTGATATTCGCAGAAGTCCCTTCGGCACTTCTTGAGACTTCGTCTTCCTTCGGCTGCTTCCAGTATTTTGGTTCGCCTGTACTTCCTGAGATCCTCCTGCATAGCTGTTCTGCAACTGGCGTTGGCTATCAGTCTTTCGAGATGGGTTGCATTCGGATCCTGCCTCAGAAATCTTCTTTCGAGAATTCCTTGGTGGTCTTCGAAATGCGTTCCAAGTTCTTCTCAGAAGTCACTACGCATCCGCAGGCTCGCAATCCTTTCAGAAGCCGGTCGTAGTCGTACGTTGGGTCCTCCTCGATGGGCAAGTCACAGCTTGATATGAACTCTTCTAACCTGTTACCGTCATAAACGACTTCTTTCCTTCTTGCGGCGCTGTGGCAAACTTTCTTTTCCAGCTTTCGACTGAATCGTATCTTCGCTCGAAGGAGACGGTGATCGGAGCCACTGCAGAAGGATGGAACTACTGAGACATCTAGCAAGCTTCACCTTCGGTTGGTGATAATGTCGATCTCCGCATGAGTCGTTCCGTGGGGCGATTCCCGAGTCCACCGGCGATGTTCTTTCTTCATGAAGATGGAATTTCCATGGAAAAGTCTTGCGGCGGAGAGAAGCCCAACAAGTCGGTTGCCGTTTTCGTTCCGGAGCCCATATCCAAACTTCCCGATCCTATATTCCTCTTCTAGTGGCATCCCGATCTTCGCGTTGAAGTCGCCCACAACGAACTTATAGAAGGATTTCTCGTTGCGGACGACCTGCTCCACCTTTTCGTAGAAAGCATTTAGTTCTAAGTCGTTAGCTGCTGATGTTGGTGAGTAGCAGTTGATGATGCTGATGATCTTCTGACGTGGAGGTCGTAGTCGTAGGATGGCTAGTCGAGGTGACAGGATCTCATGTGAACTGACAAGATGGACGATTGGGTGGACGACAAGCCAACGCCTCCAACGTTTCGTGATGGAACCTTTTCACCACGAATGAAGGGTCCCATCACTCATCTCTCGCACGTCCTTCTTCCTGGACTTGGTTTCCTGCAGAGCGATGATGTGGTACTTGATGTGCTCTGCAGCGTCGAGAAGAGCGTAGAGGTCGGCGTTTGTGGAGACTGTCCTGGCGTTGTAGGTGCAGAGCATGAGGCAGTCTCCATGGCGGTGTCGTCCGGGCAGATGTCGTTTTTGTCCAATCCGAAAGGCGCCCTGAGTACCCTGACATCGTTCTTGTTACCACCCGGCGCCGTAGGCGGGATCCGATGTGCAGGGTTTATTTCTCTTCTCTTTGCTGAACGAGTAATAGAAATTCTTCCCCTACAAGAGCAGACTTAATAAGCCAACTCTTGATTTCCACAAGGCGATCGCTGATCTCGGCTGTGGAGTGGGGAGGGACCGCCTAGCGACCTGAGAAAGTCAGACGGCGGGGGATCTGGCCTGGCCAGCTCTTAGCTAGGCATCCGGCCAAAACCGGAAACGTCGAACACCTTCACAGCTTGGGAAGCCCTACCAGAGTATACACTCGGCTGTGCATCGCAGTTCGACACCCAATGTCACCCCCACGCCACGATGAGGCGGCCGACCATTGTGGGGGCGCGTTACTATAAGTAATGATTATTTGAGCAAGTACTTGAGTGGCTTTATTGACATATATACGCACAAACTTTGCATGTAAAGTTCTTCTTAAGCTTTTTGTCGTTTGTCAAAAATTCTGCTTATTAATTCCGATTCTGATTTCCTAAATTCTGTTTTTTTTTGGATTTTGTCGGACAAAACCCTATATTCGACGTTTGAACAGGTTAGGCTACGTTTTCACATGAAGTGAATGAGAACAACATAAGCAATGTTGACGAACATTGGCCAGCCCCACCCCCCCCCCCCCCCTGATGCACGTCGACAACCGGCGGCCGCCCTCCCCTCCCTCCCCCCTTCCTCCCCCCTCCTTCCCGACAACCTACCCCCTTCACCCTGAAGGGGCGGGACCCCTATGACCTTCTCAACCCTGAAGAGGCCATGTTCTCCCTTCGCGCAGTATGCTGAATACCGTGAAAAAGGGGTTCTAACACAGGAGGGAAATCAAAGAGGGCGGGCTCTTCTCCATTGTGAATTCATGCTCCCAGCTTCTAGAGCGATCTTCTCTATTTTGCTAACCGACCTGACATCTCCACTAGCCAATTGCAAACGCTTATTTGAAATCGGAACGGAGAGAGGGTGAATTCACAGTGGAGACCCCGCCCACATATGATTTAACTCCCGTGTTAGAGCCCTTTTTCACCGTTTTTGCTCTCCGCAGTATACTTTGGGAAATTCGAAATATCTTTCGAATATTCGAATATCGAATAATATTCGAAAATCGAAATTCTCGAATATTCGACTATCGAATATTATTCGAAAATTGAAAACTTCGAGTATTCGACTATCGAATATTATTCGAAAATGGAAGTTTTCGAATCAAATAAATAAATAAATAGTTTTCGAATATTATTCAGTTCTCGAATAATATTCGATTTTCTAATACTATGCGAATAAATTATGTCAGTGAGACTACCTGTGAGAGACCAAAACATCTCAGAATAAATTTTTTCAGGTATAGACATTTTTTTATGTTTCAATTGACAACGAAAAAAACGGTTCAGTTACAGCCCCGGCAAGAAGATGGGTGCCGGATTGTGGCGATGTTAAAGTAGTCCCCCCCCCCTAAGCGATGACTGATGTTCGGAGCGAAGAAGGGGGCTACAAGGCCCAAAATTTGCCCCGTAAGTGGCCCGGATCTTACGGTAGGCTCGTGAGTACGAGATGCATGCAGGGTAGAGACGCAGAGTCGTTGCGGGACCCTGCACTCGTGACTGTGTGCGCTATGGGTTGTTTCATACTGCCGCACTGACTGCAGCAGTCTGCAGCTGACCGCACTGACCGCAACGGCCGCACAGACGCTGCATGTTTTCGTAAAAGAGAAAACAATTGCGGTTATGTCAAAACACCGTGATTTACGCCTAGGAAGTTCATAGGTTCTAACTTACTCTTTTAATCAAATTTTGGCGATTTTTCATTGGTATGTTTACCTTCGTTCGCTTTGTCTTTTGGATCTAGGCATATATTGTTGTTGATTGTTTGAGCTATAACTATTTATCCTCTCCACCTTCACGGAAGGATAGAGCGATCTGTGCGGCCCTTGAGGTCGGTGCGGTCATGCAGTCTGCTGCAGTCAGTGCGGCAGTCTGAAACAACCCTATGCGTTCTCTGGCCTTGCAGTTCGAATTCGCTGTACGGGCGGCATTTGGGCCTGCCGAAAGACGGGCCACTTTGGGAGCAATTTTCAAGCCTACCAGACCTTCTTTTTCGCTCCGAACTTCGTCACCGCTTGGGTAGGGGGTCCAATTTAACATCGCCACAAATTCCCGGACCTATCTTTTGGAACGCTGCCTTTAAGAACCTAAAAGCGTACGTGACGGTTGTAAAGGAATTTCAAAAATAAAGAAGATTATTTATCCTCATTGAGAGTTGTGGACTGACGTACAGGGGTCCCAACAGTGTGTGAATCTGTGGGCTGACATCAACCTAGACTTACAGTATGAAGCGATGTATCGATCGCTTTTCACTGTCGTAAATTACCGTAGGAAAACTGAGGAGGGTTTTGAGATACCAAGAGCCGTTTGCCCAAGAATGAGAAACAAAAAGGCCAATCTTACACTAGGCTTCTAAAGACACTCACTATATAAAGAATTTGCACTCAACCGTTACGCCTTTTGCAAATTATGCCAGGTACATCATAACAGATGTTTTCCAACGCTTTTCAAAAAAGAGAATGCACATTTAAAAGCTTGAAAGGCCGTGCGTAGTTAAACATACGTAAAATCCTGCTACATAGATTTGAAATCTCTTTTTTGTTGGGGAAACTCTTTTGGTTGTCTCATTTCGCAGTTGCTCTATATGCTAAGTTCATACCGTGATAACACAACAAGAAAAGCATGGGCTGTCTGCTGTATTTGTAAGCTGTAGCCATCCCTACAGGATGTTACTTAAAGGTTGGCAAAAGACTTCGTGAGAGGTATTAGCGATTAAACAGTTTGTACATACTCTTGGGACACCCCGTATATGTTGTGAATATCGAATTTCCGAATATTCAATGCTTCGAATTTTCGAATAGTCAATTCGTATCGAATTTTCGAATATTCGGTGCTCATCGAATATTCGAATATTCCATGGACATCGAATGTTCGAATCAATGAGCATCGAATATTCGACCATCGAATAATATTCGAAAGTTAAGAATTTCAAATATTCGACTTTCGAATAATATTCGAAAATGAAAATTTTCGAATATTCTATTGTCGAATATTATTCGAAATCTCAGATTTTCGAATATTCGAATTTTCGAATCATTCGCATTCGAATGATTTATTCGAATAATCGAATAATCATTCGATTCGGTCCAAAGTATACTCCGCAGTGTGGATTTTCGGATTCAACATAGCGCATAAGTCCGGATAAGCACAAAATTCATAGCACTCCCAAGACGTGGATCCTGATCGAGGTATTCGTTCCTCTTCCTACCCGTGCCTTCCTCCGCAAGGGATAGACGGTTGTTACAGCCACCTTGCGTGCTTGATGTGTATGGTGATTTCGAATACGCTATTTATAATATTCATTTTTGACCAAGTCTAAATCCTGTGAAGCACCAACACAGCACCGATACGACTAGAATCTAACTAAATACAAATTTGCAACATACTCTCATTTATCGAGGTAACTTTGCTAGTGAAAGCAGCAGAACTTTGACAAATACAAATGCTTCCTAAGGAAAAATGCAAGGAGTTAATTAGTGAGCGCAGTAGGGTTGTGACACTAATTTTTTTTCAAGCTAAAGATTATATTTCAAACAACGATTTCAAACCGTACTGTCATCATGGGATGGTTATGGGTGTGAACGTGGCTACGCAGAGTAAATTCAACAACATCGCAATATTCGAGAAGTCATCAGCTAATCACTTGTACTGACTATGTGAGCAAGATTAAGGTATCGAAGGCGATACATAACTCGTATTTGATTGGCAATTGGGTCAAATATGGCCAGTAGTTCTCGATTAGTCAAACATGGCCTAAGTGTACATGATAATCATCGCTTTAATGAGGTAATGGCTAGTTCCAAACTCTCCGGCCGGAGCTGAATCGTAGAGGTGGCGGCAGAGGCCACGAGCACCATCGCACTGCTTCCCGGATGCACAACATTCAAGGACAATGGTACCCAATTCACGCTGAAATAAGTATACCGAGTACAAGTAATGGTCCAGCATAAAATTGACCGTAATTGTAGACTGGAGAGAGAGAGCGCTTAGATCAAAGAGACGCATACAGCTGGCAATGAAGTTAGTGCGTATCAAACGCATTTTTGTTTCACAGATTATAGCATTTACGAACACGAATATTTTTGGGAAGCTGAATATGACTAAGATATCAGACAAACTGTACATAATCTGAAGGCAAAATTGTATAATAAAGGCAGTGGTTTGGGGAAATTGCGACTGCGGGCTTTCCTCGACTGCGTGGCCTTCTGGACCAGCTGAGTCCGGTGCTGCGCTTGAAAAGTTAAAAAGTACTTGGCGTTTCCGGCCCTTGAAGACTGCTGGGGAGGCGGGGCGAGGGATTCACCCCAAAATGAGCAACCGGCTGCAGAAGACTGTAACTCCATCTATTTTGGCGGCAATTGGCTGATCAGCCTAGGCAGCCATCGCGATACAGTTTGCCGCCAAAATAGGTGGAGTTACAGTCTCCAGCAGCCAGTTGCTCCTTTTGGGGTGAATCCCTCGCCCCGCCCCTCCAGCAATCTCCAAGGCCCGGAAACGCCAAAAAAGCACTTTTTTGATCTTTCAAGCGCAGTACCAGACTCAGCTGGTCCAGAAAGCCATATAGTCGTGAAAAGCCCGCAGTCGCAATTTTCCGAGCCACTGCCTTTAAGATGAACTCACGTTGTGCTCAACAAATATATCATTTGCTTTGTGTAGCACTGTATCTATGTCCAAAGGGCGATCTCTTGGGAAATTTGGTTGTTCGCTTTGTACAAGCTTATCGATCTTTCCGAGCAACCACAGTGCTTCAACCACCTAAAAGATGCCGCTTCAGAAATTTCAAATATTATTTACAAAACAAAATAAGCCCACCATTTCTCTGTATTCCGGCTCAGCGATTCGATTCAACGCTTGTTCCACTTCTAAAGCAAACTTCATTTCTCGTCTGGTCATCTCTTGTGTCAATCCCCAATGTAGGATAGTATCGTTAATTTTGATACCATGCGGCAGACGATTAACCGTATCCCATAGGCTCTAAGAAATTTCATCATGAGAAAACTCAAAACCAGCAATCCAGCGGCGAATCACTAGAAAACGGCAAACTTACAGCATAGAAATTATTTGGGACTCTATTAAGTGCGCCATCGATTCGTCGATGTCGAAGCCAGATTCCAAACTGGAAATCGTCTTCCGCTGATATTTCTTCGTCTTCGTCTTCTGAGGGTGTTGGCGGGCCTTCTGGTACTTCTGGCACTTGTCTGGTGCTGCCTTGGAAGCTACGCATCGATTTGCGTAGTGACTGGAAGTAAAGCACTTACGGAGGTGGTACCAAACTCAATCTGTATAAATAAATCTGTTTGGCTGTTTGTCTGTTTGTCTGCCTGTGTGACTGCCTATGTGTAAGTGTGTTCCGAAAATTTTTATTTCTGGACCGATCCGGACCAAACTTGGCACACAAATGCTTCGCGGCTGGGCGAGTGTCGTAGGCTATTTTTCGTCTTTGGTCAATGTCGATTTCACAGATATTTTACAAAGTTTCAACTACGAGCCCGAAAGTTCACAAGGGGTAACGACCATGCTGATTACGATAATATTATGAACAAGCCGCGAGGAATCGTTTGTCAGCTAAGAAAAAAAAAGAAAGTTCCAGATTGAGCTTACCTTCCTTTCCTCGATATGTCGCCTGAAGCTTCCTATGCCTGTACGAGTCTCTTTCGCCGCTTCATTGTCGTCTACTACCCTGCAAATAATCTCAGTTTCATCTCTTTTCAGCCACATCATCACGACACTTACTCTTCCAAAAGGCGTCCACTCAGCAAGGAAAACAGCATGGATTTCAACTCAAACGGACTGATCGTCATCAGATTCTCAGCAGCATCGGCTGCGGAAAGGCTTTTGATACGAGCAAGTTCTGATGCCAGGACCTAAGAGACTGATGGAATTCTCAAGAAAAGGGTAGAACGCAGTCAAGAAAATATTACCTGAATGATGAGCCCAATCCTCAAACGGAACATCTCAACAAAAAGTTTCGGTTCCGTACGAACCAAGGAACCCAAGGAAACGATAATTTCCTGAAACACGAAACAAACTAGTTCATAAGATGCTACATTTCCTCTGTGTACCTGGCTAAGCATGAAAGCATTTGGATCGTCCGCATAGGCTCTATGCATGATCTCCTTCAATTCTTCATTGGTTTTTGGTGAAGTTATTGCCTCTTCCTTTTTTGATGGCATTCCAACCTAAACGAATTATCTAGCGAACTGGTACAAGTGATGCTGAAAAATAAGGTCCTTACCGTAATTTGCTTTTGTCTTACAAGCAGGTGAGTGACCGCTTTACCGAGCTCTTCCAGACGCTTGTTCAGTAGTCCAGCTGTCAGCCGGACCAATGCCCACATGCGGCCTTCGCAAGACTAAATCAAGTTTACGAAAATATTGCTAATTCGCACATTCTCTCTGCATTTTATCGAGTTCTGATCACTTCATATGCAAAATGACAAATCTGCACTACGATTAATTTATTTCTCAAAAACTGAGCCGTACACCCCTTTTTGAGATGCATACCGCCCATCCATCACAATATACTGCGAACAATATTGCGGCAAAGGCAGTGGAGAAATTCAAAACATGCTTCTCACCTTTGTGTAAACCTCTTCCATGAGCATCTTTACTGTCACATACTGTCCGTTGAGATTAGTGTTGTAGTCTGGGCCGCTAAAGGTAAGGTAAAAAAATTGGATAAATCTAACAACTGCGGAACATTGGTATTTAGAGTTTTGAGTATTATTGGAGCACTTACTGTTTCATCCACAAGCAGTGTACAATTGAGGCTTGTTCTTCAAGTACGGTTGTCTCAAGAAGCATATCAACCAAATCATCAGCATCCATCGCATTCATCTGCACACGTGTCACATCTTTTCGAGATGAATTGCTAAACATGCGAAAATTCAGTCTAAGCAAGATGAAAACATAAACTGACTTGTCTAAGTTTCTGCTGTATGTCTTCAGCATATTCTTGGACAGATTTCCATCTGATGTTTTCTTAGGAGTAGTAGGAGTTGGGCTTGCAGCTTTAAAAAAAACAAAACTAAGTACATCTGAATTATCAAAAAAATTACTCACGTCTTTCGGCAATGGTAGGTTCAAGAGTGTTGGTACGATACTTGAGCCGTAATTCAGCGAGATCTGAATGAGAAAGTGGACGTCCACACAAAAAAATGGAAGTCGGGTAGCTATACGTACTTGAAACCAAAACAAAAGCCAGTGCGAAAAGTAATAAAAAATTTTAAATAATAATCTTGAGACTCACCGCTATCATTACTATCCAAAGCGATAGATCGATGTCGCATCGAAGTCTTGTGGACGATACTGTATGACGTACGGTCTTTCACCGAATCAACACGCTTGAACGCGGGTCTCGCGGGTGAAAAGGAAAAACCTACAGCTAAGTAATGGATAGACAAAAATATAGTCGAAAATAGAACGCGAATATCCACTTGTGCTTACTAGATTTCTCACTGATGCTCACATCACTAGGAAGAGCAAATTGGACCTTCGTTTCGGATTCTTCCAGCAAAAATCCCGTTGAATCACCAAATTCCAACTTGCTAACAGCCGTCGTGCGAAAGAATTCCGATAGATTTTTCATGACTATTCTGCAAAGAAATGGGATGTGAACAGAGATGGACAATTAGTTCCACTTACCTTGCACCTCCAAGATAACCAGTGTTGATCTTCTTGATAGTTCCCATAACAGTGGATTTCATGAAGCGATTGAGAGAAATATTTGAGAAATCGGATAAGCCATCCTAAAGCTTTGATTGAAGAAACATGAAAGACACAGACGTAACCAGATAGTAGTGCTCATGCGTTTGTACCATAAGCCACATGAAAGAAAAAAAAAAGAAAAAGCATGACAAGTGCTACGATGAAACCCTGGCTTTGGAGTTTCCTGAATCTGATGTGCGTTGTGCAACATAGACTTGCACGTGAAGTTTCCCCAAATTCGCTTTTTTCGAAACCGTCGCAAACATTAAAAAAACTAAAGAGGTACCCACAACACCATATGATATAGTGAAACATAAGCAATGGGTGACGGGAAAAAGGCGCAGAAGTGCGAATGCAGAAAGAAATGGTCCCATTTCATTTGTGCAGCATGACAAGGTTACGAAAACTCACTTACTGTGAGAAATGTTCTTTTCCAAGCCTTCAAAAAAAAGAGTCAAAATCTCAACGATCAAACAATCAAAAAAAGGAAAAAGAAGAATGAAAACTGAAATATGATTAATTTTTGGAGAATCGTACCGTCGTAAGCATATCACTGCTAACAACGAGAACCACCAAAGGTCTTCCGCTGATGCTGACGGAGTTCCAAGAGGCATAGATGTACTGTAGCTCTGAACTCCATTCATCCATAAGAATACGGATATCGTACATCAAATGGGATCGACGGCTGTCCATGAACTGTAAAACGCCAAATTTCGACTGCAGACAATAATTCAAACATTTTCTACCTGAGGAGTGAAAATCACAAATTTTTTCCCGATTTGATACAGACGACTGGTACTTAGCAATCCCACGTCCCTATCCAACGGTCGCCCAGTTAAATTAAGCTTCTTCGATTGTCCAATCCTCGAAAAGTAAGCGCTTTGGCTGGCAAGTTACCAAATGTTTCAGCAAACCTAGAGTGGATTTCAGCAAGAGACGATGCTGGAAGAATTGTGAACACAGGGTCGATCTCATCTATGCGTTGAACGAGTATTCCATTGGAACGCAGTTCACGCTGAACCTCGCTATTTGCTGCCAGGATAGTGACTGAAAATATCTTGCATAAATGATATTTTCACAGAAAGTCAGAAAAGGATGAGATCACCTTGCACTTCACATGGTGGACGTTTCTGATGCGCTGACAGTCTTCGACTCAAAGGATCAAGCTCAGCCGGTGTCAGAAAACCTTCGTAAAGAAGGCAGCAAATGACATACAATGACTGCGCCCAGAGAAATGGACTAAAAACCGTATACATAAAACCGAAAACTGCTAATTATTTTGACTAGAGAAGGTTATAAATGACAATGCATGTCTTAAGAGAAGTTAGACTAAATAATTATTTACAGCTCTGTTTGCAGCAACTTTGACGATCGAAACGACATTTTCACATGTTATCGCAACTCCTACGAACTGCAAAGTGTGGATATCGCCAAAAGTCTACTCCCCTACGTTCACGCACAGAACACCCTTAATGCAGAGTCAACCATATGCCTAACGCGCATGAGTACGGTAGCGACATTTAGGTGCAAACGCGACTCCACTGCTTTTCCAACTAAAATTTGTCTCAGAACCGAAGATGTGAGCGAAAAAGAAAGAAACACGCATCTTATGAACATTTAGTTGCTATCGTGTTTTATGTAAAGACGGAAAATTTCACTTCACGTTCACTTCCCCTCTCACCTACAAGGAGCGATACATACTCTGTTCCGCATGCCTACCAAGAAAGACATTCAATCAAAGTCATACATCTAAACATTGAGCAAAACCCTGCTCACTTTAAACTTATGCACGTAAACTCGCAACCGGAACTTTTGTTTAGTACACATCGCAGGCTTTCCCAACGCCAAAGAACATTCAACTACATCGTAGCACAAATTAATTGGTATGCACTCACGTTGCCCCACTCGCTACCCTTGGCTGTGATCCACGCTCACTTTTCTCACCGGCCACATGCTCCCTTTCCACCCTGTATAATTCGGGAATCAATCGAAATCCTTCCTCAGACAACACGACGATCTGGAAATCCGATACTTTAGTTTAACGTCGAGAAGAGCACTAACGCTATGAAAAACCTACACTCTCAATTTGCTGCCAATAGTCCTCGACAGCTTCATCGTTTTTGTCATATAAAGCGTCTAGCATAAGAAAACACAGAAACAATGGCCATTCGCATTCGATGTCTTCGAATTGTTGGAGCTCAGACTTGTTATAGTACAGTCGAAATGGGTCCTAAAGCAAAAAAAAATTGCTTGGTCTAATAATCTGAGGAGTCGAAACATGAAAATACGAAACTATTGCTTTGGAGAGATGTATTGATTGGCCCTGGTACTGGGTTTCGTATGGAAAATGTTGAAGGTTTACGTGGGCCACTGTACAAACGCAGCCATACTTTTTGTTCGTGACCGAGAAATCCGATGCTGAACTATCGCCCAGTACCGTTTCCAAGGACCAATCAGCATCGCCAGACACGGTAGCGGCGGGAGTTCAAAGTCGATGTTCTCAGAAATATTAGGTTGTTCTATAAATCTTTTCATTTTTGGGTTTTCACTCATATTCTGAATAGACATCAGGATACCATTCGATAGAGCAAAACACGCTCTATAAGATGGCTTTCGTGATTTTGCAGCAGCTACAGTCCACCTCAAGTTTCAAACCAAAATCTAAAAAGTTTCGGATGCCCAGAAAGCTGAAAATTTTCAATACCTTTGTTCAAAAAAGTCCTACAGATCACTCACTCACGCGTATGCATTCCACATCAAACATTAATATGTCAGCTAAAAATCAAGAAACCGAAAGTTTCCATGTTTTCATCAAAGTGACGCTGTGCTGTTCTTACACTAACAAGAAGCCCTTAGAAATACTACCGTAGATTTTTGGCTCTTTATAAGCTCTGAATCACGAGAAATATCGAACTTAGCTTCCCCCACTTAGGTTTTTCACGCTTGACTCAGCATTTTTCAATCAGAGCTTACAGAGAGGTAAAAATTCAAATTTGTACTTCTAAGGGCTTGTAGTACACAGCTGTTAGTGTAAGAACACCACAGTGCACTTTGGTGAAAACATGGAAATTTTCGGTTTCTTGATTTTTAGCTGATAAAAAAAATAGCAACAGCATATATGAATGTCTGATGTGAAATGTGTATGCATGAGCGAGTGAGAGATCTGTAGGACTTTTTTGAGCGAAGATATAGAAAAATTCAGTTTTCTGGGCATGCGAAACTTTTTGGATTTTGGTTTGTAACTTCAGTTGGAACGCAGCTTGTGCAAAAGCATAAACGCCAATTTATAGAGCTTGCTTTGCTCTATCGATTGGTAACCTATTATCGATCTAGCATCAGAAGTGGCTGACTAATTACAGTGAAAACTCAGAAATGAAAAGACTTATGGGAAAACCTAATAAATAAGTAGAGTAAAGCTTGGATGAGCTCAGTGAAGGATTCCCGATTAGTATCAACAAAATCTCCAGATATCAAATTTGTCTGTAAAGCCTCTAATGAATTCACGATCGTTTTTTCAACAAACGCAGTCACAACACTTTCTCATGTAGCAAACGTCTGCAATCTATGTTCAAACCGGCTCCGCTGAGACCGTCATCAAAGTTTACGCGGAAGTGTTTGTCGAGGAAAAAAAAGTAGCAGCCGCACGTGAAGTGCATAAGTTCTGCCACAAGTCTTGCATAATGCTCTCAACAGAATTGAAAGTGGATGCGATTTCAACAAGGATTTTTATGACCGAGACATGACTTCAGAAGAGAGGCGAAAGTGTAAAAAAAAAGTTTTGTTTTAGTATGAAATCTACCATGTAAGAAGGAAGAAACTGTTCATTTTCTTCAAAACAGTGCTCACGAGAAGAAAAAAAAAAACCAGACACATCAAACTGCACTTTGCAATGCAGACTTATACCGCATGATTGCGAATAGAAGCTTCGTGCAAAAAAAGCATTTATGACTTCTAATCATATAAGCACACATCAAAAGCACTAACAAACCTCTAGAGCAGTTTTATACCCATCACGAAGAAACCTTCGACAGCCATATTTTCCAAGCAATGTTGAACAGATGGTATCCCTAGTTTTATCGACTAGTTCTTGGTCCTCTACAGCAAATCCAGGATAAGAAATTATGGTCAGTAGCGCTGCATCCGTTTCCTTCAATGCATATTTTATGAATAGTAGTTAAGATGAGCATGAAATCAAAATAATGAGCATTACCTTGCTAAACGATTCTCTTGGCAACATGCTGCTAAGTACTGCAGAGCACTGCTCGATTTCATCAGGTAAAACATGAATAGCAGATCGTCGCGAACCATCTCCAAATAAGTCGCCGACATCGTTCATAGCCTATATTCCAAGCGCACAATTCTGGATCGAAACAACAAGGCAAAAGATTAAACAAACCTGCAGAGCAGCTTTTACCATTCCAATAGAACTAGCATTAAGCTCCCTTATTCCTTGATTGGTCTTGTCACCTCTTTCCCATATTCCAAAGTCCTAGAAAGCCAAATGTTACGATATGATAAAAATCTTGATCGCACTTTGTGTCTATTACACACCAAAATCAAAAAATCACATAACAAAGAATGACATATTGTAATGGACACATGAATATCACGTTGTATCGAGACTCACCGGTGTGCGATAACCATTTTCTATGTAGTAAACGAGATTTTGTATGAATGCCACCTCATCGATGTTGCGCACCACTTGTAAACCTAATAGAGTATTACAATAAGAATATATTGAGTGAGTGAGATAAATTCAACTAAAAAAGGAGGAGCCTTTCATCAAACGAACTCAGTTTCATGTCTGTGAATTCTGATCGAACAGAATAACTAAAAAGGTACCAGGTCAGCCCCTTCCCCCAACACAAGAATTTTGCAGGCTGTCTACGTCTCTTATACCAGGATCTAGTCTCATCTCAGTGTGATCCGAAAAAGAGACGCGTCGTCTGCAAAGATTTCCGTCCTTCCCTACTTCAAAAAAAAAACTACCTTCGTGTTCTGCAGGCTGCTCACTGAATTAGCAAAAAACATTGAGATATGCAATAAAAATGAATAACTGGCGGAAAAAAACGTACCTGAGGCAGTGATTTGTGCCAAAGTGAGCAAAAATAACGAAGTAGCATCTATTTGAAGATGGCCCCACTCTGTATCGCCACATACCTGAAAGCAGAGCTAGATAGGAGTTGCATGTGCATAAAATGGAGGCATCGCACTTGACTCTTTGTAGAAACAGAATATTTCGCGTGAAGCGAGTCCACCGGCCTCTGATATTTCTTGAACAGCTCAACTTTGTCAGCTTGTCGCATCATACATTCCAAAATTGACTGCATCATTTTTACGCTGTAAAAAGACAATTTTCAAAAAAAATGTTATTGTTCAAAAAAGCATACCAAATAAGGTTAGAGTCAAAGTGAAGAAAGAAGCAGGCAAAAGCCAAAACTAGTTACCATGTAAGACCCAATTCGTTTGCTTTCGTTAGATCCTCATCAAATTCCGCACACTTCATGTAGGCACGGTAGAGCGCCCACAAGGAGTGAATGACATAGACGTTGTCGCGAACCCAAGCATGGTCTAGAAATTTTGAGTATTTGAGTGTAGAGCAATGAAGAGCATCATGAGAACAAAAACAGGATCAAGCAAGTGCCCAAACATGAACGTTATTCAAGCTTCCGAGAATATTTTTGCGTAAAGATGATTTGATGATTATATGCTCTCAAAGGTTGGGTTCATACTGATCCGTGAGTTCCGAAACAGTTCCAGCACAGTTCAATTAGAGCGCTGTGTTGGAACTGTTTCGAAACTTACGAATTAGTATGAACCCAGCCAAAGTTACATACGTAGATGTCCACACATGTTTGGTTGTTCGCAACATGTTCATACCAATTCATCATTGTTTCATCGTTTTCAGGGTTGGAGCTAACACCTTTTTTCACATCTTCAAAGCCACAAAAAATTACGAACACTCTCTGTATGGCAAATCGTTTTTTTCAATCAGAAATTGCCTAACACTCTAAGAACCACAGCGTTCAATTCTTTGAAACTCTTCTGATGTAAACATCGCTAATCAAATATTAACTGCAAAGTTTTCTGTAAAGCACGAAAATTCAATCCCAGTGAGGAAAACTGAGAAATGAAAGTTACAAGCTCAAACTAACATTTCATTGAACTGTTTAAAAGAACATATAATGCAATTTTTTAAGCCTTTCAAACTTCCCTATCAAGTTCATTCGATGTTCCAAAGCTGTATTTAGAAAAATTTGGATAAAAAATCAGTGGTAAGTTGCCGTACCAACAATAAATTAAACAAGACAATTTCGAACTATCTGGGCGTAGGGCAAGAGTAATATCGAAGCTGTTATCTTTACGGTCTATACTAAACATAAAGTGACGATCCAGAAAAACAGACTATCTTCGCTTCCCTAAAACATCTATCACTCAAATATAATGTGATGGCGCGACTAGTATAATAAACGTCTTTGTCGGCGACCACATGAATGTCACGTGAATTTAGTCATACACACAATGTAATGCTCCCAACACACAACAAAAAACAAAAATCTCAAGTTAGTCCTAAACTCACCAGGAAACTCCTTCTGATTAGCAAACAATCCCGTGATAGCATTTTGATACTTGCAAATTGTTTGATCGACCATAAAAAGGATACGATCCAAACGCACACCTGACCCGCTCCTTGAGCGCATCTTTAGTGGTTTAACGCTGAAAGGATAACGCCAAAGAATAAAAGAATTAAAAGACAAGGCGAAAAAGTAAGAAAAAATCGAGAAGTTCAAAAAATGAGAGGTTAGAGGAACAAAGCGGATAATTGAAAGTTTCAGGGTTTTCACATATGCAGCAAAACACCATCAGACGCGCAGAATGCGCAGAACTACAACATTCGTAGAGAATGATGCACTTGTCCCATTACACTACGATTGAAGAATAATCTGCTCCTAGAACAGCGAAGACGTCAAGTTTATCCCGTTGTCTGCAATTACATACCAGAACTTTGACATATTTCATTTGACGCTTATTTCGATCAATTTGAATCCACTCTTGCTTCGGTTTAAGTTTTTCGCCTTGTCATGTCCTGTTATGCGTGCTAGCAAGCTCACTTTGAAGTAATTCATAGTAATTGTGCACGGGAGTCGGTGAGATGCTTCTGTCCCCATGAAAGCACTATCCTTTCCTGAGTATAGTTTTGAGTACTAAATCTCATGAAAGTCAGTTTGAAAGTACCTTCATTTATTTATTTTGATAAAAGCAGCGTTCTGTATAACATGAGCAGCGGAAGATAGCATTTGTAGATGATTTTGACCGTTTGTCTGGATTCTCTTGAGTTCTAGTCCTTTTCGTTCCAAAATCGACATGTTGGAATTTTTATTTAAGCGATTTCGGGTTGACCATGGGCGAGGAATGGTTCAAGAAATGTCGGCCTTTAGATTATTACGATCAGTTTATTCAAGAAGGTATCTACCCGGATGGCCGCTCGATCTCTTCATTTACTCCATTGTCATTCAAGGTTGGTATCTAACATGTTATTCGTATCGTTTGTTGACTATGCAGAGAGTTTCTTCTTATTAATCACTATAGATCTGCACCGATTTGCATTTGCGAACACATTCAGCTTATTTAGAAATGTAGACAATGCTGGTGTAGCTGCGCGGCGCTCTACACTCTGTGTCATCGATGTAGGCCCTTTTCGATCAGTACAAGCGCAGCGCTAGAGCCCCGTGCCGCGTTTGCGAACGTACCGCTTGAGCATTCAAATTTGCCGCATCATGGAAATCACTGTGCAATGCCCGTGCGCTGGGCATGCCTGCTACGGAAAAGAGAGCACATGGTTGACACAGATTTTACATTTTCGAAGAGAAAGTCCTTCTCGCCACTTTTTGTAGACAAATTCAAATGATACCCTAGTAGCAGGATCAAATCGCGGGGTGGGCTTGTGCGTTGTCTGCGTTTGTGAATCTACTTCAAAGTCAGCATGACTGTTTGAAACGTACAAGATTTACTCCTCGTGTTAGGACTCACTTTGTCGCACTTCATACTTTCTTGGTCTTCTATGTATCTTACAGCTTGGATCCTGGGGAGGAGTTGGATCGGCCTTGATTCGGCAAGGTGGAGTTGCTGTATCATGTAGTGTCCACGCTTCACTAGCTCTCCCCCATGATGGACCTCTTATGACATCCGAAATCGAAGCATGTTCATCTATTTCACAGGTAAATCATTTCCTTGTATTTTGTTTGGAGTGTTTCGATGTTAGCTTCCAGATGGAGATTAACGATGTAACAGATCTGCTGAATCGATTATTTGAAAATGAAGCGCTTTTTCCACGTAAAACTCTGATCATAAAAGGAACAGAAGAAACTATTCCAATGACCTGGGAGCTCACATTTCGGATACAGGTTAGTTTCATGGTTAAGCTACTTGCGCAGACACTGCGTTCGCTGATAGTGCGCACTCAGCGTGCCGTTGACGCACTTTAGGGATCGTTCAGACCGCGCCGGTACCCGTCCAAACCCGCCCGAATACGTCCGAATCCGCCCGAATACGTCCAAATCCGCCCAAATCCGCCCAAATACGTCCGAATACGCCCGAACCCGCCTGAACGCCGGATCTGCTAAAGCGCAGCGGGTATGCGGCAAATTGGCATATTGGAGCACGCGTGGAATACTACGTGCCTGCTGCTTATAACTTAGTTGCACTTAGCTCGACGTAGGTTACATACTGATCTTTTGCAACTACTCCGATATCACAGGGATCAATCCCATGCGTGCTCCAATATGCCAATTTGCCGCATACCCGCTGCGCTTGGGCAGTTCCGGCGTTCAGGCGGGTTCGGGCGTATTCGGACGTATTTGGGCGGGTTTGGACGTATTCGGGCGGATTCGGACGTATTCGGGCGGGTTTGGACGGGTACCGGCGCGGTCTGAACGATCCCTTATGCATCGCTAGCGTTTAGCTTCTTACTTCAAGTCTTTCTGCTTTCGCTGAAAAGTGCATGGCATTGTGGCTCATATTAGCTCCACCGTCTGCAGAAAGGGGTGCTATCGTTAATTTTCATCGCGGCTTAGGCCTCGGGCAGAGTTCAAACGATTTCATCGCCTCACCATTCTCAAAACGCGACAGTTACGAGTCCATTGCATGTCGATCATCTTGCATTTCGTTTGTGATAATTAGTCGCGATAAGTCGTGTCGGAAAACTAACACAACCGAAGTGCAAGATGATCGGCATGTAGTGGACTTGTAACTGTTGTCTTGTCTTGGGAGAATCGCAAGGCGATGAAATCGCACGATTTTTGCACGAGGCCTTACTCATCAACACATTGTACAGTCGAGTAGGTTTCCCGCTTTATATTGTGTGTGCGGTGCCTATTATTCGTAGAAATAACCATTGTTTAGTAGTTCATCATAAGTCCTAGACAGTGGCGTACCCAGGATTTCGGCTCGGGGGGGGGGGGGCGCGACAAAAAATTTTTTCTAATGGAGGTGCGTGGCGTCAGCCACGCACTCCGAAAATTCTTTTCGTATGCTCCCTAAAATTTTCGCGGGCTCAGAACCCTAGAATTTCAGAAAAAGGGGGCGTGGCGTCAGCCACGCCCCCGAAAAAATTTTTTTTACAAGGCTAATTTGAATTTTTAAAAAATTTTAAAAATTATTTTAATTATTTACAAGTATAAACAAGTCATTCGCACATTTTTATAACCCATGTAAGTAACTTTCAAAAATTTCGCGACCCATTCTCGGGGGGGGGGGGGGGGGGGCGCGCGCCCCCCCCCGCCCCCCCCCCCCCTCGGTACGCCACTGGTCCTAGATATGGCTGGCTCATAGGCTCGGTTTTTCCGATGAAGTCTCGCAATCCGATGAAGTTTTGCAATCTGCCGAAGTTGGTTTCAGATCTTGAATTCCGATGGTTGTGTCCCAGATGCAGTCGTATGCGCGACTTCCGCTGCTTTATCAAATGTCCGATTACCAGCGGTCAAACTGATTCATGCTAAAGACGATGAGTCTCCTATACAGAGGGAGGAAATCACTGTTTTGGAAGAGGTATAGTTATTTGTAATTTTGCGTATTCTTTTTTTATTAATTTTCCATTTCTTGTCTTTCACTACTTGTATTTGGGTTCAGAAAGCACCGCTGGATTTAGCAAGCTTTCCCGTTGCTGTAACATTCTATGTCTTTCGGAGTGCAAAACAGGATAAAGTAATTTGCATCTGTCCCTGCGATTTTCTATTTGCCTCACCGATTTACTTCAGATTATCGTCGATCCTCCACAAGAACTTGTAGAACAATGTGCTGCGCGTGTCTCGATGGTGACTGATGGCGAGAATGTGCTGTTTTTACGCACTCGTGGAGTAATAAAGGACGAACAATTCATGTCTACCATGGTTTCCATGGCGGAACGACGGCATAAAAGTATAGTAGATGTTATCCGTGACAAAAGTAATCACGATTCTTTATAGCATATAGTTTTGATTTTTTGTTACTTGTTTATACTTGTTGCTATTTTTTGTTATCTGCATTCAATAAACGATGTATATTCGAACTCCATATTCGTTTTGTGTGGTACGCGGATTATTTTAGGATGTTCTCTAATTTGAGCTTGACTCCGAATGTGAATACTTATTTTAGATTAAGGATGTCCACAGAAGTGGATGACATCCTGAAAAATGCACAAGCAGCGGCCAAGCAGTCTATGTTTGCGGAAGATCTGGAAAATTTGTCATTGCTAGAAGATAGCAGAGATAGCTTTCTAACAGCTTTGGATGATCCACAACCGGGGTATGCGCACGATTTTTCATGCTTTTTACTCGTCTATGCTCACTTTTCTTCGAAGGTAGGGGAGTTCTGAGCAGTTGCAAATAAAATTCTTTAGTTGCAAAACAAATTTCAACTCACTTTTGGGTGTTTGCAGGACATCGGAACGAGACTCCCCTGCTGCATGTAGCAATCTCAGAAGAACGATCAAGTCTGCTCGAGATTTCATGGAAAGCGAAGCGTTCAAAACAATATCGAATGATAAGGTTACGGTCAATGGAGAGAGGGAAAAATTGTCGATTATGTGTACTACGCTTCAGCGTAAGGTTTTTCATATTTCTTGACTATTTTTGGAGGATTTGTTTCATTGTAGATCGCGCTCTTACATGTGCAGAAGACCGATCTTTGTTGCATGGTCGCATTTGTGCAATCGATTTGGCTCTTCTGGGTTCTGGGAGCTATGTGATGAATGGTAAAGAAGCGTCTGCTCAAGTGATTTATTTGCAGATGAGTATTTTCAGACGTGTTCGAACGAAATTTGAAAAATGTGGTTCAAACAAGACGAAATACTACCTCCGAATTCAGCGGTGCAGGGCCAGCTATGCATGTTGTTAGTTTCTTTCTAGCGTTCTGTTTTGATTTTAAAATTCCAAAATGAGCTTATAGTGTTTGGCTTGGCTTTGTCATGCTGCTCAATGCAGAGTCAGCGATGTCGTGCCCGGTGGAGAGATATTTCCAGACGCTGAGCGGTACATCCATGAACGGCTGGAGCAGAACGAATTGCCTGTGGTGGATGAAAATGAACGGTCTGACTTGGCTATATATCAGGTGCGATCATATTCTCTTGATTTTCATCCAATTCTAGATTTTAAGCTTTGTCGCGTTCTCGACTTGTTGGCTGTTTGCGATTTGCGCGCGCAATCACCTGTAGATCGATCGATACTCATTTTTGTAATTTGTCGACTTATACTGGACAAGAATTCTTGTTGTACGACACAGACTAAGGCCAGCTTGGCTATTGGCAATGTGAGCTTTTTTTTCCTTGAAATTACTGAAGAGGAATACTGTACGTTCAAGATCTTGAATGCATCCTCACTAACAAAACGCGCCACACTTATCGAGTTTTCTAACATCTTCTCGTTGATCTCAGGTAGGACGATTGATTGTTTATATTTGGTATCAAAACCGTCGCTATTCAGACGATCTCTTGAATTTGGACCTCTGCCATCAGTGTGTTCGTCTTTCCATGGTTGATCCTTCTTGCTGCCTTGCATTGTTTAGCTCTCTCTTGATTCATCTATCAGAAAGAGCAGAATGCGAACCAGCTGATTTGGTAGGTCAAATAGCCGGCTTCCTCATCAAGAGTTAGGTCAAGCAAACTTTTTAGGAAAATGTCAGCGAAGAGGTCTTTGTCAATGCACATTTGGGCGTGATTATTGATGTGATTGAAGACGTCATGGAAGTCTATAGCAGTGTGAGTTCAACCAGCACAGTTATTTCAAAAATTTCACAAATCTAAATTAGCCCATTTTCTTTCAAAAGCGTGACTGCCGCCGCTTTTTCTTGATGTTGTTATGGGTTTGCAAGTATCTCGAAAAGCATCATTGAAATTGCGGACATTGCCAGCACCACGCCTCTTCATTTAAAAAATTTCTTGTCGCTTTACTCCCTTCCCTAAAATTTTTTGACTGGCCATGGGCATCTTGGGGTCTCATTAATCTTCTGACAAGGTGTTTCCTCATCGAATCTGTATGATTCTCATGAGCAACATGTCAGGTGATCTCTCTACACAAAATTTTTGCAAATATTGAGGTTTTGGTCCCTTACCATACACCTACCGTAAGCTCACTACAGAGGCCTAATCATGCGAAATGAGTATCATCTTTATAATCAGCATGCCCAATCCCTATATACCAGATTGGAGCAGGAGCTGGGTTTCTTGGATTTGGGTCCCAAATAAAATAATTAACAGACCCATGTGTCATCGCCATCTCAATTTATGTTTTAGAATAACAAGCAAAAATGCGTAATTATTACAATGTTCGACTCTTCTCTCCATCCTTCCCTTTTCGACATGATAAGTGTGGAACAAAAGTCGCAACTCAAAGGACTGTTTCAACGTTTGAAACAAGATCTGGTGAGCAAATTTTTCCTCTAAATTGACAGATTATGAGTCCCGTTTAAAAAAAGTTGGCTTCATAATCATTGTACCTCTAGGGAACATCGACATCTCCAGATGGAGCACTATCCTATCGTCTCCTGCGGAATCTCATCGATCGTTATGAAATTCAGTCCAATAAAGAAACGACGACATTTGCTGGCTACTAATATTTCTTGATCTCGCTGTTTTTTGCACTTTTGTTCGCTTTGCTGATCACTGTGATCAATTTTTTTCCTCCCTTGATGCTTTCTTCATGTGCTGCTTATTCCGATACGGTGCTACATCGCGCTCAATTCGCTTACTTGATGCAGGTTACTCGAAACTCGAAAGTTTTTAGTGCTTAGTTAGAATAGTCATAATGCTTGATAGTAACTAAATTTAGTTAGAAAAGTAAACTATGGAAATGATGTTGTGTATGAGCGATTCAATACAAATTGGTTCTTTGAGGCTACACTTTACCCCAGTATTTAGTAGGATATCCAGCATCTGACTCTGCACATTATCGTAGCATGATGGCATCTCGTCCCCGTCTTAGTGCAGGTCTTGGTCTTTAGTTCCATATCCTAGAGCCAGATCCTGCATTTGACCGCAAGTCACTGATAAACTCGATGAACTAGTCCACTCGCATCTCATAAACTAGGTCTGAAAATACGTTTTGGAGAATGCCTCATGCTCCGCGCTACGCCAGAATACTCTCTTTAATCGGATATCCATGCTCTTCTGGATGCTGCAGAGCAAATCAAGTACCACGTCATCGCTTTGCAGGAAATGAAGACCAGAAAGTTTCATCGAAACCTTAGAGAGTGTCGGCCATGTCATCCATAAATCTATCGTCCACTTTGTCGATTCGTACGAGTTCGTTGGCCATTTTTCGTCTTTGCATTTCACTTCTGGTTATCATCAGCATAATCAACTCCTCCACCTTGACGCTGACAACCGATGAATCATTAGTGGATGTTACCTACGAAGATGTGGAGGAGGTCATCTGCAATGGGAACTTTCACAATTTTGTAGAAAAGTTTAGCGAAAACGAGGATGCCACGAGGACGCGAAGTTCGGATATGGGCTCTGAAGCAACGGCAACAATTTTCTTGAGCTCGTCTTTGCCAGACCCCTTTTCTATGGGTATATTACCTTAAGAAAGCCCCTGTGACATAGATCGCCTAACGAGGGGGCTCATGCGGAAAACAACCACATTTACTCCAGGAGATTGTGTCTATCCGATGTACATATTAAAAGTCGTCTCCATCGGCTGTGATTCGGATCATTGCCTTTGGAAATAGTTTTATTTTATAACGGTGGAGGACCTGCACGAAAAAGGCATGTGTACCCATGCAAAGATACGCTTGTGAGTTTTTCAGTAAATGCAGGTGATTAGCCCATTTTCCCAAAATTAACTAATGTAAATACTAGAGATTTAGCCGGCATGATTTTTAAAACTTCCTTCGCTTTTGTCCCTATAGAGCGTCCTGCAAAGTACACCCAAACTTGATTCATAACTTACAAGGGAAGGATACTTGGTGACCGTGGTCTTTTGGAATGCGATGTGACTATAAATTGCATCTTGAAATGATGGTTCCAAATATGCCCTCGCTATCCTCGAAACGATGTTCTGAAGGAAGTTATGAATATTACTTTAAAAAATTTGAGTACTGTTGTAAAATCACCAATTTTGGTGTAGTTTATCGTTTGATGTCATCAAAGGAAATTTTAGACTGATTGATGATGTATTAAAACTAAAAAATTCATTGACAGCAATTTGGAAGGTAAAGAAGTCATTTATTGATGATTTTGAACGCACAAGTGCAATTTATTTTTGAAAAAGTAGTCATAACTCCATCCGGATTTTGGTTTCGCAGACACGGGAGACAGTTTTCAAACCAGCCTTCAAAGGCGCTTTTTTTAAATTTTCACTTAATCATGAATGGTCACGGCCAAGTATCCTTCCAAACATCTGGGCTCCGCCCTTTCTCTTCAATGTCTGTTGAAGTTTTGCCGGAGAGTCCGGATTGGGAATAAAGTTATAAATCATCCGTGTTCAGCCTTCTTCTACGAGGTTGGCTCGAAAGTTTTCGGAAATTTTCAGACGAGATTTGCTACTCGAAACTTAATGCGTGTACATCCGACAGAGGAACCATTCGATAGAGCAAAGCAAGCGGTACAAGATGTTATGCAAAATTTCGCACCAGCTTCGGCCCAGCGTCGGTTTGCATCCAGAATGTGAGTCGTACTGAAGGCTCGAAAAAATGGAAAAATTTATATCTTCGTTCAAAAAAATCCTACTGATCTCCAACTTGTTTGCACAAATTGCACACCGCATCAGACTCTTATATGTACCGTTCCTGTATTTTTTCCTTATCTAGAAATCGAGAAAACGTGAATTTTCATGCTCATACAAAAACGAAGTCGTGCTGTTCCCATCCATAAATTTTATATTAAAAGTTCAGAAGTATAAACGTAACTTTTTGGCTTCCCAACTGCAGTTGCAACTGCAGTTGCAACTGCAGTTGCAACTGCAGTTGCAACTGCAGTTGCAACAGTGCTTTTTGCGGTGCACCTCCTTCGGGCGACGAATCACGACAGCATATGCAGCAGTTGCAGTTGCAACTGCAGGCAGTCATGCTGTTGCAGCTGCTGGCATGCCGACGGGGACGAGCAGTTCGAAACTCGTCCGCCCCTGAAGAGAGGGTCCCCGGAAATCGGGGTTTTTTGGGACTTTTGGAGGATTTCAATGACATAACTGTAATCAGCGGCATGGAAAGGCCCCAGAATGACAAAAACATCGAAGGTGAAATTTTGGGTGTACGCTGCCTTTAAGGCTATAGTATCTCATTCTTGTGTCAAGTAACTTGCTGAAAATTTGCATTTTTTTCCTGGATTCTTATGCTTTTTTTATATAGATAGCACAGTTGTAGCAACAGAACTTTCTTGAATGAAAAGGCCGCGCTATTACGAAACATATCTTAAAAAGCATCCTAAACTCCAAATAACTATACATGCTAAACTAGAAGAATTTTTCAAAAGTTTTCGAAATCGTGGTTATTCAGGTAAGCCGTTTTATATACAATATGACTCACGCGATGGCGGTTGCGGGAATTCCGTCCGGGAGAGGAGGGGGGGGGGACAAAAATTACATATGAAGGTGTGTGGCTTTAGCCACGCACTCTGGAAAATTTTTTGAGGTGCTTCTCAATATTTTTGCTTTCTGATCCCTAAAATTTAGAAAAAGGGTGTTTTGATTTTTTAACAATAATTTAAAAATTACTTTGTTTATTTGTAAGAATGAACAAGTCACTTGCACATTTTTATCACCCATGCAAGTGAATTTCAAAAATTTTGCGGCCCATTCTTGGAGGGGGGGGGGGCATAACTCACATAAACTGTTTCTCAAAAAATTTCGTTACTCAGAGAAGAGGGCGTAGCGCTTGCAGTAGGGCGCTGCTTTTTCATTTATTATTCTTTTTCTTTATTCTTCTTCTTTTTTCTTTATTTGCTTCTTTATTTCAAAAGTCCGCGTTATTCATTACTACTCCTCGTTCTCTAGCTACTTGGAAATGATCTACAATATTTCATGTCTTCTGCCTTCGTATATTTGATACATTAAGGTTTGTTTTCTTCCACTTCTCCTTCTTAATCGACTAAAGGTCTAAATTACTAATTAGCGAACAATGAGGCAGTTAAAAAGCATTATTTTTCTTTGCTTCGCCCCTGCTGTCAATCACAGGCAGCACCTCAGAAGTTCAGTCTTTTCAGCTATAGCATAGATCAATATACCGCATTGGTTTTAACCGTTGACTCAGTATAAACATTTTTTATCATTAATTCTATGACTACGAGATGCGAAGCCGCGTTGCACACAATGTCATAATATCTTAATAAGCCTGGTCTGTGCTTAGCAGGTTTATACTTGTTATTTACCTCGCCCAGGTTTATTCACTCTTTGAAAACAGGGAAGAACAAACTCAAACTTGTTAGGACAAAGTTCGCAATGTGGTTTCACATCTCCTAGTCATAAAATAGATGATACTCCCTTTTCTTTGTTAGTACTTTACACAATTTGGAAAAAATGGGGCGTCAATCAGTTTTTCTAGAATAGGCATATTCTCAAGTGTTAACAAATGTGTCAGTTCATTATTTGAAAATGATGACATCTATTTTCAAGTTTCTTTCCCCGTAACTAAACTACAAACTGGTTCTTTCAATTGCGGTATATTTACAAAACTAGACTTCAACCAAATGGCCATTATCAAAATCTGCTCATTTTTAAGTAGCTAAATATAAGTACAAGTTCGTATTCGGTGTATGAGATTAACAATTTGCTCAATGCAGGCGGTCCGGGCTTTCTTGGAAAACTTGTTTTTTCTTTCTTTAGCTACTGCGTAAGATTATTCTAATTCGCTGACGTCTTCGCACAACTTTTAGAAAAAAAACATTGATTTGTGTTAGCATTAATTCTTTGTGCAAAATCTCAAGATTTTAAGGTACTTTATAGGCTTTCGTTTGTTTCCACATCTGCCGCTAATTTTGTTAGATTATGTGAACACACTGTAGGCTGATTATTTATTAGATGACTGTAATTGGCTTGACGATAGTTTTCTGTTTACGTAAATTCGCAAGAAATTTGTTTCTTGGTAACCATGGGAAATCTTTCTTATTTTATGATATTAAGAGTAGTTTTGAATTCACTTCAAAAGAGCATTTTGAAGCATAAATGTCTAAATTAAGTAAGGACATTTCGACTTCAAATTTCACTTCGATGTGATTCTGTCAAGTTGTAGAGTTAGCTATTCTCTTAACTTGATCCCTCTACCCTAAGTTTCTTCCCCTTGTACTAACATAACAGTTCTGACTAGATCCTTTTATCGTTATAACATCAATATAGATATGGGGGAACATAATTGGGGAGGGGACCACCGAGCACCCGGGGAGTGCCAGCTCATCTGAAGTTGGTGGCACCGCCCAGTCGGCGAGGGGACTGTCGGACTCTAATTAGTCTGCGTCTCGACATGTCCGTTCCATGGTAAAGCTCGTCCTCGAGCTTTTGAAGTCTGCCATGGTAATTTAGTTGTCATCATCGGATTCGTTTGACGTTGCCCATACATTTGAGGTGTCATCGATTGATTTGATTGAACGTTGCCCATATGTGTAGTTGAACGTTGCCCATATGTACAGTTGAGATATCATCATTGATTTGGACGTTGCCCATATGCCATTTGCTGCTTTGGTTGAGGGAGAGTTGCTTCAGGCGTTAGTCGCTGGATTTTTCTTCACAAGGACAGGGGGAAAGGGATGAGAAGGCACGCTTTCGCACGCCCC